TCAAGTGATTTCGTTGTCAAGCAGGGCACCACTGTACATCGCTTGCCTGATTTGTATGTCATTTCCTCAAGGATCACTCAACACCTGCATCCCTATGGATGGCCTGGGAGGAGTCACACTATAAACAGTAGATCAGTGCATTGACCACACATTTTCCTTTATATTTCTAGGTCTATTGTGGCAGAGACATACTTTTTTTTAAAAAAATGAAAACTTGGAATATAGGCCAGATGATACACCAGAAGGTCATGTGGAACCTCTAAAATGGAGAGGGAGGAAACCTGTCTATGGCAACTCTGCTTATAGATCTAGGGTAAGACCTTTGAAATTAATTAATTGCAGCTTATGCTTTACTGACACTACCTTGGATTTGTCAGTGAGTGTTGAAGTTTTTGTCTGTAGCCTCACACGCTATCTGTACTTTGTATGACTGAGAAGGACTCTTCTGGGCTGAGATGATTGTATGTCTATCCAGGACTAACCAATTGTACCTTATAGCCTTTGAATTCAAAGAGAACCCAGCCTCTCTACTGTTTCTTTTCCCTCTGTTTCCTAGGTTGGTTGTTGTGACGGCTGCGATGACTTTTTTCATAATGGGGATATAACAAAGGCACATTTCAGAAGCAATGCAGTAAGTGAGAATAAAATTGCTCCATTAGCATAAGAAGTAGCAGTTCCCAGTTATTTTTCAACATCTTGTGGGGAAGGGAGACGAAGGTTGTGGAAACAGGATACATGAAAGGATTTAGCATCCCCTCCCCCAGCAGCACAGTTCTGAGCAAGAATCCTGGTGGCTCCATGAAAATAAACATATAAAAGTAAAAAGATCTGCTGTCTAAAGTCCATCTGGCCCTAAGAAGCTTGAAGGGATCTGATGAGATGCTCACTGTAGAAGGTAGAGAGGGCTACAGGTGGCTTGTGATTAAAGTCATAGGGTTCATAGTCAGACTCAGAATCTTCACTAACAGGTGTAGGTCTTGTGGCTGTCACTGAAAAGAATAGAAATGTCAGTCAGTTGTTTGTTTTTTAATAGGTTTTTGTAGGTTGTTCGGGCTGTTCGGCCATTTTCTTAAGGTTTTTCTTCCTAACATTTCGCCAGTTTCTGTGGAAGGCGTTGTTGAGTTTTAGACTTTTTTTGTTGTTACAATTAACAAAGGACACAAGGGACCCAGCCCCCTCACCACTACAGGAGCACACCGGATACCTTGCAGTTGTGGCCAGGTATATATTGGAACCACAAAATGCAGCATCCACACCAGAATCAAAGAACATGAGAGACACTGCAGACTAAAGCAAGCAGGAAAATTGGCAGTAGCTGAATGCCAGCAGAGCTTCAACAAAAAAGAAGAAAGTCTAAAACTCAACAAAGCCTAGCTTCCAGCACTGGAAAATACAGCTTGCAAAAGGTCAATGAACTCTACCCAGCCACAAGGACCGGTGATCACTGCACACAAAAGACCAGCTGACAACACCCATCAATCACAGTGACAGATCATCTCTCCCCCTTATCACAACAATGCACCCACAATAAAAAAACACGCTGATCACCATAATCACCCAATCTCCTGAAAAGGACAAAAAGCTGATCCCACAGCTATAAATACTCAGCTATCCCATAAACTGCACCTGAGCACAGAGTTCTGACTTCTGTCCTCTGAAGATGTTGACCACAGAGACTGATGAAATGTTAGGAAGAATAACCTTAAGAACATGGCCAAACAGCCTGAAAAACCTACAACAACCATTGGATCCCAGCTAAGAAAGCCTCCGAGAATACAGTGATGCCTTGCATTACGATGTTAATTCATTCCAGCGAAATTGCTGTAGAATGAAAACTTCATAATGTGAAAATAAAAAGCCCATTGAAACGCATTCAAACCCCTTCAATACGTTCCAATGGGCTGGAAACTCACCGTCCAGCGAAGATCCTCCATAGGGCGGCCATTTTCGGTGGCTGTCTTCCGAGGAATCAGTCCCAGAAAACAGTGGGGAGCCATTTTATTTACCCGACAGCCATTTTGAAACTGCCGATCAGCTGTTGAAAATCGTCATTTTGTGAAGAATCGGCTCCTGAAGCAGGGAACCGATCATCGTAAAATGAAAAAACCCTATTCAGACCATCGCTTTGCGATCGCAAAAGCGATCACAAAAATGTCATCGTAATGCGATTTCGTCGTAATGCGGGGCAATCGTATAGTGGGGCATGACTGTACAAGTATATTTCCCTTTAAATATCTGAGCTTATTAAGACAAGTTGGAGAATGCAATCAAACATATAAAAGGAAGAGTGTTCACTGCGCAAAGACTGAAGAAGTCTCAAAGCAAAATCAGCTCAGCTTTTTCAAGTAGTCAGAAAACAAATAGGGTGTCCGTATGGAGGTGTGAGAAAGAAAAACTGACAAAATCAAACCAAGTGGCATCACAAAGTCTCCATTTTTCAGGCTGTGTGTTGTGTAGCATTAAGAAACCATCAAATGTCAGCATGCAAAGGAGATAATTTATAATTTGCCCTATTGATTTTGAGTCCACCAGGACTATCACAGTGCCTTTAATACCTACATAACTATCTTCTGGACGTAATGTCACACCTGCAGAGAGCCCGTTAACTGAGGAAAGATGAAGCATCTTCTTCCCATATTTAGCCATATTCTGGGGCTGATATAGCTCAAGCACTGGAAGCAAAAATGTGGTCCTCAGATCTACTGAAGTTGCCCATCCTCCTCTTAAGTGAAATGGTTCCTTGTGGATGCCACTCCAGAAACAAGCAATGACGGGCTCTCCCAGAGCCTCTCATTTTGATCTTTAGATCACACCTGTGCAGTATTGCTGCTGTTTCAGGGTCCAGCTGCTGCCCTCAGGCAGATGTCTGCTACTGTCATGGTGTTGCACCTCCTTCATCTCACACATGTAAACATACTTGAATGCCTTCCAAGATGGGGATGCCAACAAGGTGATTATCTCTACCATTATAACACTTGTGTCCTCTGTTTCTGTGCCTTTCTTCAACCCTGTTCTCCTCCCCTTGCTCCCCCTTTACTACTTAAATATAGTCCTGAGGTCAGATTGTGTTCTGCTGCTGCAAACTGCTATGCTATGTTGTGTTTTACATAGATATTGTCCACAATCGTACTGGGATTTGTGGAAAGCTTGTATAACTTGCTGTGGCTAATTGCAGATAATTAATCTGCAGATGTCAGTCGGGTGCATACTCCTGAGAATTCGTCAGTCAGTCACCATCAGCCACGGCAAGCTATACAAGTCTCATGCCATCATGAATAGTATGTGGCCATTTCCTTAAAAATGCCATGATGTTGCCCTTGTTACCAGTTCCTGACTTGCTTGTTCTCCTTCCCCTGGGCAATGTATGTTGAGTGCAAATGAGATGTAATATTATCACTAACGGAAGCACGGGGTGGGTGGAACACCTGAACATTATGTGCATTGTCTCCCAAAGCAAACAGCAGTTTGAGGGCAGAAAGAGAACGAAGAGATAGCCCTCAACTAAGAAAGGAAAATCGTTGACTAACGAGAGCAACTTCTCTCACCTCTGAGAGTAAGCATGTTAGCGCCGTTTCATTTGGTGATTGGTCTTCAGGATTTAACCATGAAACTGCTTTGAAGTCTGTTTTCCCAAACCCCCCAAAGATTGCCTTAATCATCTCTTTGCAGCATTTACTCTAATTATGGAAGTATTTCCCTGGAAGATCATAGCAAAGGAGGAAAGGATTAACTGCCCTCCCCCGCGTCTGCTTGCTTCCATCTTGACATGACAGTCTTACTCCCCTCAAAAGAACCTCATGAGGGACTCTCTCACAGATTCTCAACTCAACAAAACATTTATGGTGAGAAAGGGAAGCGGGGTGGGTAAGAAAGGGGTGTGAGTCAAGTGAGGGGTAGATAGAAAACCAGGTAAGGCAAACAAGCAACAGCTTTTGATACCTTCTTCTTTGGAGAAGACAGTAGGGATTTCCCGATAGTCATTATTCCCTCCAGTAGTTGCAACCAGCTGCTGGTTGTGGGTCATCTGGGCTGAGGCAGATATGGAGGCTGAGGAAACGGTACAATCTGCAGACAAAAAGGTAAGGTTCTGTTTAGTAAAACTGCATGTGAAAGGGAGTGGATTTCAGAAGGTAATTGTTTTTATATGCATTTTTCTTGGGCAGTTCCCCTCATTTACTGGCCCTAGTGAACAGCCTGGTGAACAGTGCATACAATCTTTTCTATGTATATTCAAAAACAGGGCCCTGGGAAGTGCCAACACTCTTCTTATCTAGAGCCACATGTCAACCTGTTTCTCTGCAAAAGACACACATAAAAAAACCTCAAGAAGCTGATGGATTGAAAGTTACATTGGTGGAGCAAAAAGAATGCACACAGAACACTGACATTTATCAGTGTCATCCAGCATGAGTTTCTCTAATAATGGGCATACAGCATATAATTTGTCCTTCATTTTCGAAGATGACCAACTTCATTGGATCTACTATTTGAAGATGGGGGGGGGAGAGAATAAGTGAGTGGTTAAGGTTGAACCACTATAAGTCTGGAAGATATGGAAACAGCTTATCTGAAAATCTTTTAGGCTGCATTTCCAACCAGTTTTTTGGTCAGGGAACCTCTCTGCACACACCCCTCCCTCTGCAGATTTCAATTTGCATTATAGTCTAGTTATAAAGGGACCTGTAACCCACACAGCCTTCTGACAGCAGCTCCCCTCCCAAGATGCATCCCATTAGGTCTGTCCCACTGACTCTCTTGAAACACATCTTGGAGGCTCCCACACTACCACCACCACTTGACGTCTCAGCCATGTGTGCCCAGCATACCAAAGGTACCATTTTTCCTGTGCCTGTTCAGCAAAATAATGATGACAGGAGCCAGAATAGCCAGAAAAAGGAGAAGACCCAGGACAAGGCAGAGGATTTGCAGCATACGGTAGGATGGCCCAACATCCCACTTCTCAGGGTTAGTCAAACCTGCAGATCAGAACATGAACAGAGCAGAGTGGTCAGAAGGAAAAGGAAGAAGGTAAAACATTTTTTAAAAATCCTCTTGTTCTTAACAGGAAAATATGTGCCTGTTTAACCAAGTAATTATAGTATGGTCTAACTTGAGCAGCTACTGCTCTCTTCCATTGGTTCAACAGAGCCAAAGCAGAGCGCAGAAGAGTGGCTCAGTGTGGTGTTATGGACAGGATGACAGATCAGGGGTGTGAAGAGGCATTTGTCCTGGATTTGGGTCTGGGTTGGGGGGTGGGCCGGTTTGCTCCTTCTTCTATTGACCCCATGACATATGTGTCATTGTGAATTAGCCTGTCCCTGATTGATGCCTATCCACACCATTTTGGGTCTTTGTTCAAGGGCTTCTGTTTTCTTGGTGCAAGTAGGATTGCTCTGCTTTGGTTTGGTTCCAGTATGTGTGACCATTGGGACTGAACCAAAGCAACTGTTTGGCTGCCCATCCCCAACTGAGGCCACAATCTTGAGAAATTAGAAGCTTTCTAGCCACTCACCACAGAGGAAGGAAGAGGAACTTTTCATTTTTAAAAAAACTATTGCTAACATATCAGCAATGCTTGGGGAAAAAAGCCCTTTCAGAACATTGCTCATGCATTGTGTTGGTTGGCTGACAACAATTAAAAAAAAATATATGGGAAGCTTCATCTCCCTTCCCCTCCTCAGGTGAGCGGAAAGGAGCTTCCCATTTCTCAAGACTGTTCTCTAGGAATGTTGTGCGTTTGATGTTTTTAGAGCAATCCCAACCGATCTGCAATGCTTGGGGAAAAAAGCCCTTTCAGAACATTGCTCATGCATTGTGTTGGTTGGCTGACAACAATTAAAAAAAAATATATGGGAAGCTTCATCTCCCTTCCCCTCCTCAGGTGAGCGGAAAGGAGCTTCCCATTTCTCAAGACTGTTCTCTAGGAATGTTGTGCGTTTGATGTTTTTAGAGCAATCCCAACCGATCTGGCAGGATGCTACAGAGTAGCCAGCCTCTAACTTATTTTTTTATATTTATAAAATATATATTTATATTTTTATAGTACTTGGGTTTTGACTGGAGACATCTTGCAGACTTTTTTCAGAGGGTAAAGGTAAATTGATGGCTCAGTGCTTTTTGTTTTCATACTGCCACCATCTTGTCAAAATTACAGTTTGACGGGAACATTGATTAAAAAAAAAGAAACTTGTGTGAGTCCTGGGGGAAGGATTGCCCCCTCAAATTATGTTCAGTTCTCTTTTGATCATCTGTCTCCAGGCTGCTGCAGTTCCTTCTGTGGAAATTCCATTCCTTCCCTAGAATATGTGAATAAGGGAGAGCCCTCATTGGGCTCTTCCTCAGGAGGGGTTCGCCAGGTTTCCAAGACTGAAAAGCAGGCCAGGCAGGTCCACCCTAGACAGCTGGAAAGCCAGGAAATCAAGAAAGGCATGCAGCCTATGGAGAAAATGCTCCTTCTCTTCCTCCTCCCTTCTGACTAAGTGCATTAGAAGAGCGATGAAGGCCTGCTGCTGAAGGTTCAGGTAATGATTTCAGATTACCATGATATGAAATTCTGCTTTGCCCACTTCTGCAGCTCTTGGCCATGTGTAACTTTCCCCTCTCCCAGTTGTCCTTCTGCCTTTTAGCTTTTTGTTGTTCATGTCATCCCGCCTTTCCTGGATCTTTTTTTTTCAACACCTCCTCCCACCCCACCCCCCATCTTGTCTTCTCTGGACATGGTCTCATCTTTTTTGCCTTACTTCCAGCGTTCTGTCCCTCCAGCGCTACCTGGGGGCTCTGCTGCAATGGATGCAGGAGAATGGGCTGAGGCTGAACCTGGACAAGATGGAGGTCCTGAGGGTGGGTGCCCCCACTGTTGGCAGCTTGGGTGACTCCCTCTCGTTTGGGGGGGGTGACCCTTGCCACAAAGGGTGGGGTCCGCAGTCTGGGGATCCATCTGGACCCAGCGATCACCATGGAGACACAGGTGGCGTCGGTGGTCCGCACCGCCTTTTTTCATCTTTGGCAGATAGCCCGGCTGCAACTCTATCTTGACATGGGGGCGCTCACCACCTTGGTGCATGCACTCGTAATCTCGAGATTAGACCACTGTAACACTACGTGGGGCTACCTTGAGGCTGACGTGGAAACTCCAAGTGGTGCAGAATGCAGCGGCCAAACTCCTTAGCGGAGCGAGAAAACACCATCATATTTCTCCTATTCTGGCCACATTGCATTGGCTGCCCATCAGGTTCCACGTTGACTTCAAAGTGTTGATGCTCACGTATAAAGCCCTAAACGGTTTGGGACCTCGATACTCGTTTACTCCCACCCAGTTCTACCCGTGTCACTCGCGCGAGTCAGGAGGTGAGGCTGAGGAGCCTGATGCCGAGGGAGGCCCGGAAGGAAAATACAAGAAACCGGGCCTTCTTGGCGGTGGCTCGTCGTCTCTGGAACAACTTGCCTCCCGAGATTCGCGCGGCTCCCTCGCTGGGTATTTTAAAGAAACAACTGAAAACATGGATGTTTAGGCAGGCCTTCCCACCTCCCAGTTAATTCCTAATTTTTCTTCCTTTCTTATCTGTTATAATTTATTTATTTTTCTTGCCATCTTGGAGAAAAATGTTTTTCTAATTATGTAAATTGTGTTTTATATATATATTTGCTTTACATTTTATGTTGTAAGCGACCTAGAGTGGTCGCAATGACCAGATAGGCGGGGTATAAACAAACAAACAAACAAACAAACAAACAAACAAACAAACAAACAAATAAATAAATAAATAAATAAATAACCTCCCACAGGCAATTCTATTCCCATTGTGCCACCCTTCAAGACTCATTCAGAGCAGCTGGAGGTTTTCTGGGTTACCGTTCCCACAAACCCCCAGCTAACCTGGCCAACAGCCATGCTAGAGAAAGGAATTCTGAGTGTTTTATAGTAGGAAAAATTAACTTTTCCAAGTGGTAGAAGTAATCTAAGGCAGCCCGAGACCCCTGGGAACTTGGTGTTCAGCCAAAGTCCTGCCTGCCTGCCTTTTACACTCTCTACGACATCGAAGCAGCTCAGCAAAGCCCAGGGAGAGGTTTCATGGCCTTGACAAACCTTTCCGTGTAGAAGAGGGCAATATCATTTATGTCAGCAGAGCAAGCAGGAGCTAAGTAAAATCCTAAATTCAGCTCCTAAATTTCAGAAGGGTTAGCAGACCACATTTCCCTCTCTGGAAATAAATAACATCTATCCTTCACATTTTATGAAAATAAGAAAGCTATGATTTATTAGAGAACTGCACAGCAACAAGAAAAATAGTAAAGACCCTGGTTCTAGTTAATGTAAGATGGAGAAGCAAGAAGCCATGTTTGCCCCTTTGCAGTATTCTCAAGAACAAAAGCAAGAGGACGCCTATGTCCTCTCCCAGAGAAGATCAAAAATGTGGGAAGGCAGAAAGCGACATCAGCAATCTAAAAATATCAGTCTAGGTTGAAGGAAAGTCAGCAAAGGCCAGAGGAGGTAGCAAGCAGTCCAGAAAACCCAAATCGGTCCTCCTCTCTCTGTCTGCTCTCCCCCATACAGAGACTTCATCAAGGTAAGCTGAGTTACACGCAGTCATTGCCAACTGTAACCCACCTGCTGTCATGTTAAGCCAGATGGGATTCCAGCTTCCATCTCATTGCACTTGATAACAAGAGGCACTGCATGGGGCCAGGCAAAGCCATTTGAAAACTCCTTGCGCTAGGGGAGCTGCATGTGGTAAACGTCGCCTTAGTGATACGACATGCAGTTCCTTGGCAGATGCTGGGGAGACACCGTCTGCAGCCTGCCATTCTCCCAATGCCTTGGAGAGAGTTTTGCACTTACCTAGAGTCGGCAGGCGGGAGATTGGAGTCACCGTTTCTGTCACTGGCGCTGTCACGTTCCTCAAACCCAATGAATCTAAAATTGAGGGAAGAGCATGGGAAGGATTAAGAACCAACAACAGCACTTGGGAAGCATCTCAGTTTTAAGAGAGAGAGAGAGAGAGAGAGAGAGAGAGAGAGAGAGAGAGAGAGTCTGTATGTGCTACAGTTAGCCGGTGCTTGTCCAGATTGCATCTTTCAGTGGTCCCAGCTGGGTGCTATTGTTTGTTGCACACATGAGAATTGTTGCAAGGAAAGCAAGGGGCTCCTCAGCCATATGGATCACCGAGCAGGAACCAGTGAGAGAGGAAAGCACATTGCAGTGTTGGAGCCAGCCAGTGTTTTTGATTGGAGCCAACAGGAAGCCTCCCCACCCCCACCCCCAAAAGCTGTGAGAGATGCTGCAATGGTAGCCTCCGCTCCTTCCACGTGAACTACTGTTGCTACTCTTGCCACATCATACAGACACTTCCAGATGGTGTTGGAGGGAAGGCTGTCAAGTGATTTCTCAACTGCCCCCCCCAGGGATACCAAACAGCATTGTGGGGTGAAGTCTCGGCAGCAGCTGGGGAAGCAGAAGGCAACCCCTGCTTGGATCTTGTGACTGCCATCTGCATGGCAGGGAACAGATATGTTGGCATGGATTGCACTTGGAAAACCAGCTCTCTCTTTCTATGGCTGAGCACAAATTACACAACATTCATATACATACAAGCAGCCAGGGTGGAGGGAGCACTGAGCACAGTGTCTTTGAGCTCAGTCCCTGATTCTTGGCCCCTCCCATGGTCTCTGCCCTCTCCCATCTTTCTCCTCTACCACCTTAAGATCATACAAACAAGAGAGTCCTGGATTAGACCAAAGGTCATACTAGTCCAACAGATAGCAGACAACCAGCAATCGGAGTGGAAACTGCCAGCTGGACGTGAGTGCATCGCCCGTTCTGCTTTGCAATCTACAGCAACTGACGCACAGAGGCATTCTGCCTCTGTTAGTGATGATGATATGGAGCCATCCTGACCTGTAGCTACTGACGGCCATCATCTCCATGAAGTATCTGGCCTCCTTCTAAAGCCATCCAAGTTGGCAGCTGCCACCACATCTTGTGACAGTGTATCCTAGAGTTTGACTGTGTCCTGTGTAAAGAAATGTTTTCGTTTATATGTTCCCAGGGTAGGTGACCCTATGGTTCTAGTATTATGGCAGAGAGAAGAGAAGTACATCAGTAATGTGAGGAGAGAAATGTTTTCCTTTTTTAAAAAAAAAGCTCCTTATTCCTCCCTCCTTTCTTTTAGTCTCTCCACATGTGTGCTAAATCCACCACTGGGTGAACAAGCACACCCAGTGAATGTTCTTTAATAGCTCTGCGTCAGCCCAAAAAGTGGTCTCAAATAGAGTTCCACAAGGTTTTATCATATTTAGCTCTTGTGCTTTTCAATTTTTTATAAATTACTTAGATGAAAATACAGAAGGGATGATTTTTGAATTTCCAGATGGCACAAACATTGAGAGGAATAATAGGCTCGTTGAAGAGAAAACGGCTCTTGACAGACTGTTAACACTGGGCCAAAACAAATAAGATTGCATTCAAAACAATAAATATAACATATTGTATTAGGCAAAACAAGTCAAAAGCAGAATTATTGTTTGGGGGAGACCTGGCTTGGCATCAGTACCTTAAAAAAAAAAAGGAGTCATAGAGGATTACAAACTGAACATGAACCAGCAGTATGATGCAGCTGATTAAAAGAATAAAATTTTAGGCTACATTATCAGCACCAAAGTGTATGTTTAGTTCATGTTGAGATGGGGCACTCCTTAAGAAGTGAAAGACAATTGTTTGGGCTCATACATGCTTTCCCTTGCTACTGTATCTTGCATTTCTGTGTGTTTTGTCTTATGATCAGTCAACAGTAGGTAAAGATGACCTTAATATGCAAAACTGCAGAATTCAGTTTGCTGAATGAAAAACTGGCTAATCCCAAGTTATAAGCATTTGCATTAATGCTAGGTTGATCCTCGGGAGCATAGTTTCCAGATCCTAGTTCTTCTCCATTTCACACTAGTCCAGCGGCATTTGGTGTACTGTGTCTCATTGAAATTTACAAACTGGAAGGAGCTCAACAAACCAGAGAAGGAAAATCTGAGGGATCTGAGCATGTTTGGATGAGAGGAGAGAAGGATACAGGGAGACATGATAGCAACCTTCAAATAACCTAAGGGCTGCCATGCAGAAGTAGGAGCAGACTTGTCGTCTGTTGGGGCAGATTAGAAGCCATAAGTGGAAATGGGAGGAAACAGATTTTGTCAGATTGTTAAGAGAAACATCCTAATGTTAAGAACTGTTCCACAGAGTAACACACTGCCTTAGGTGGCTTCTTCTTCTGTCAGGGATGCTATAATTCAGAAGTAAGCAATGTCAGTGGGTCCGAGGGCCATATTTTAAATTTGCCCACAGCCTGGGCACAGCACTGTTATGGAATATGGTTAAAAACAGAGGGGCAGGGACGAAGATGTTAGGTAACATATATCTAGGTGAAATGGATTTAATCATATATAAAAAGGTCCTTTTAAATGGAAAACCATACTCATATTACTCTTCAATTAAAATAAATTAAAGAGAAATATGACAAAATTAAAGAGGAACATGGCAAAATTTCCCCATGCTTCCAGAAGAAACAACCCCTACCACCCCCCAAAAAAGCCAATGTTTTACTTACAAAAAGATAAAATTGGCAGTTTGGGGGACAGGGACTTTAGGGATTTGTAGAGGTCTGCATTTGTTCAATCTTGCTGGATTTGCACCTTGTGCTGCAGATCAGCCAGTGAATCCACTAGATGACCCCTCCCAAATCCTTTACATTTCTATGATTCTCATCCAGTTTAGAAATGCATTGCTTTTTTTCCCTCCTTATTTTTAGGAAACACACAGGCCATATGTTGTTGTTTAGTCATTAAGTTGTGTCTGACTCTTTGTGACCCCATGGACCAGAGCACGCCAGGCCCTCCTGTCCTCCACTGCCTCCTGGAGTTTGGTCAAAGTCATGTTGGTTGCTTCAGTGACACTGTCCATCCATCTTGTGTCGTCCCCTTCTCCTCTTGCCTTCACACTTTCCCAACATCAGGGTCTTTTCCAGGGAGATTTCTCTTCTCATGAGGTGGCCAAAGTATTGAAGCCTCAGCTTCAGGATCTTTCCTTCTAGTGAGCACTCAGGGTTGATTTCCTTCAGAATGGATAGGTTTGTTCTCCTTGCAGTCCAGGGGACTCTCAAGAGTCTCCTCCAGCACCACAATTAAAAAGCATCAATTCTTCAGTGGTTGGCCTTCTTTATGGTCCAACTCTCACTTCCATATAACAGTAGTGGAGGAACCATAGCTTTGACTATGTGGACCTTTGTTGGCAAGGTGATGTCTCTGCTTTTTAAGATGCTGTCTAGGTTTGTTCCAAGAACCATGTGTCTTTTAATGTCATGGCTGCTGTCACCATCTGCAGTGATCATGGAGCCCAAGAAAGTAAAATCTGTCACTGCCTCCATATCTTCCCCTTCTATTTCCCAGGAGGTGATGGGACCAGTGGCCATGATCTTAGTTTTTTTGATGTTGAACTTCAAACCATTTTTTGCACTCTCCTCTTTCACCCTCATTACAAGGTTCCTTAATTCCTCCTTACTTTCTGCCATCAGAGTGTTATCATCTGCATATCGGAGGTTGTTGATATTTCTTCCGGCAATCTTAACTTCAGTTTAGGATTCCTCCAGCCATGCCTTTTGCATGATGTATTCTGCATATAAATTAAATAAGTAGGGAGACAATATACAGCCTTGTCGTACTCCTTTCCCAATTTTGAACCAGTCATTTGTTCCATATCCAGTTCTAACTGCTGCTTCCTGTCTCACATAGAGATTTCTCAGGAGATAGATAAGGTGGTCAGGCACTCCCATTTCTTTAAGGACTTGCTGTGGTCCACACAGTCAAAGGCTTTTGCGTAGTCAATGAAGCAGAAGTAGATTTTTTCTGGAACTCTCTGACTTTCTCCATAATCCAGCGCATGTTTGCAATTTGGTGTCTAGTTCCTCTGCCCCTTCGAAATCCATCTTGTACTTCTGGGAGTTCTTGGACCATGTACTGCTGAAGCCTACCTTGTAGGATTTGACCTTAACCTTGCTAGTGTGGGAAATGAGTGCAATTGTGCGGTAGTTGGAGCATTCTTTGGCACTGCCCTTTGTTGGGATTGGAACTGGGATATAGACTGATCTTTTCCAATCCTCTGGGCACTGCTGGCATATTGAGTGTAGCACCTTAACAGCATCATCTTTTAAGATTTTAAGTAATTCAACTGGTGTGCCATTGTCTCCACTGGCCCTGTTGTTAGCCAAGCTTTCTAAGGCCCACTTGACTTCACTCTCCAGGATGTCTGGCTCAAGGTCAGCAACCACACTATTTGGGTTGTCTGGGACATCCAGATCTTTCTGGTATAATTCCTCTGTGTATTCTTGCCACCTCTTCTTGATGCCTTCTGCATCTGTGAGGTACCTACCATTTCTGTCCTTTATCATGTCCATCTTTGCACAAAATGTTCCTTTAATATCTCCAATTTTCTTGACCAGATCTCTGGTTTTCCCTTTCTATTGTTTTCCTCTATTTCTTTGCACTGTTCATTTAACACAGGTCATATACATTTACTCAATTCTTGAAAAAGTCAGAAGACTACAATTTTTACAGTTATCTTCCATTTCACTTCTGATGTATTTTGAACAACTCATTGCCTGCCTATCATGGCTTATGTCTTTAGGAATTACAGTGTGTTTACACTGCAGTTGGTCCTGATTATATTTTTACATGGTTTTGCTTCACGGTGTTTGCTGAGATATTTGACCGTCGGATTCTTTTTCCATGCCTGTGGTTGATGTGCATCCTCTTTGTGCCAGTGGTACATGCTGGGATTTCTAGAAAAAGATAACCACCTTGGAGCAGATGGTTAATGGGATGGATCAGGGTAAAGGTTGTTTGTTTTGCTCACTATCCTCAGTTAACATTTTAAAAATGAATATTTAACACAAAGTACACATTTGACCAAGAATGAAGAAGTAAAAAAATATGAGCCAGATTCCAGTTCCACCTGTAAACTGTGAAATGGGGTAATGCGTAGTGTTTTGGTCTTAGAAGCAATATGGAAAAACAGCAGGGGACAACTGAGAAGATATCACAGCCTACAAACATGTTTGGTTCTCCCTGTACAGCAGACCAGGGCAAAGTGTGGCCCGAACGCCACATATGGCCCGCGAGCCGCTCCTGTCCGGCCCGCGGACGGTTTTGAACATCAAAACCATTTATAGCATGCTGTCTAAAGTTGATCAGTTGTTTATCTTAACATACCACAAAAAACCTCTTTAGTACTTGTGACGAATAAGAAGTTTAAAATAAAAACAATCATAACATCACTGTTTCATTTTATTTTTAAGTAAAGTTGGTTCGGCCCCTGAACACAGTTCAGATTTTTCATGTGGCCCCCCTATAGAAATTAATTGCCCACCCCTGCTGTACAGGCTTGAGATTTGATGTTTCATTGATTTTCGTTCTCTATCTGGTTGCTTTTCATTCTAAAAAGGAGAATATTAGTGGATCAAGTAGCTTTTTCCTACCCCTCTATACCTCTGCGGCTGATATTTATATCCAAGAGAGAAAGGGTGGGGGCAGGGGGCGGCAGAGAGAGAATACAGTCAGGTATTTCTGTTCAAGGCAGACTGAATATATGTGAAGAAACAAGAACAAGAATGTTCATTCTGCCCCTTCCATTTTTGCTCTTATTTTATTTATATCCTATCTCCCCCCCCTCAGTACAGATCCTTTCCATCTCCACGATTCTCCATGACCTAACTCTAAGACCACGGCAAGTTATCATACTAAAACTCAGCTATCACATTATAACAAGCATTGAAAGAAATTCTTTTAAAACAATTTAAAAGGATATCATAAGTTTTTTTAAAAGTTTAAAAAATAAACAACTCTATCAAAAGTGCCTTCCTAAGCAACCTCCTTAGTTGCCAAGAGCCTGCCTGAGGAGAAAAATTGTTGCTTGCAAGCAGAAGAACAATAGGGAAGCAGCCAAACTGGCCTCCCCAGCTAGGGAGTTTCCATAGCCTGCAGAGTGGTGACAACAACGGTGGGGAGTCGAGGTGGCCACCTTCCCCCTCCACCTTATATTTCATTTCGCCCCAAACAAGGACTTTACTGGAGAGACTGATAAAGGTCCAGGTACTAATTACCATTATTACAAATCACACCAGCTGCACTGAAGTGGTCACACAGGGTGGCTTTGTTGTAGTGCCAGACACAGTTGTCAAGTGAGTCTTCATGTCCGTAACATTCATAATACATCTTGCCCAGCAGTGTGTGGTTGAAAGGCATCTTGGGGACTAGGGCTTTGTCACTGCAACCCAAGGAATGGCACAGCACATTGGCCTCATCCTGGTACCAGCTACTATCACATACGGTGTTCCAAACGCCCCGGTAATAGACCTCCACTCGTCCAGCACAAGCATCTAAGCCTCCCGACAGCCGCCATGCTTGGTGCTCTGTGTAGGTGGTGGGAGAGGAAAGGAGGGAGAGTCAGCAAAGGCAGAATGGCTCAGAAGGACCCAGTTTTCTTCTTAATAGCACTCGTTATAGTCTGCTGCCAAACATTGGGGCTGGTAGGACACCAGTTATCTTATAGGCACAGCTTAGAGAAGTTACTTTAAAAAAAAAAACAACCCAAAATTCTTCAGCTCCCAGAATCTCCCCCAACCAGCAAGCCTGACAGGAATTCCACGAGGCAGGTATACAGTACTTTTAAAGTATAACTTTTCCAAGCTCTGCTCGCAGGTTAGAGCTATGTTTCAAAGGAACATGGAACATGTAGTAGTATTTATTTATTTATTTATTTTGCTTTTTGAAACTCAACAGGGCATCCAGACTGATCTTTTCAATATTTTGGGTCTTGTTTAAACCCAAGGCAATTCTGGCATGAAGTCTTTACCATAACCCAACAAATAGCAGGGTGCCCATTATCTCCAGAATCTCAGGACCAACTTTTAGGCCATGCAAAAGATGGATTAAATCATGGCAGGTAATAAACTCACTAATTACATCAAGAATAGGTTATCGCTCATCACTGGAAATCTGCAAAATATTCCAAAACAATAAATTGGCTAAAAAGAAATATGTGAAATAATCCTACTCACAAAACTGACTCCCTTTATAAAGGGGCAAAATAACATTTTAAAAAGATATATCTGCATAAGAACTATTGCTCTTCATTAATGCTGGGAATGAAAACATTCATCATAATATCCAAGGCTCCTGTTTTCTTGTGAAGTATCTTAAAACAAGTAGTTTGCTACATGATTGAATATTTACTTTTATTCATGTTAAAACCTATATTTATATGTCTGTTGTTTTACAAACTTTTTTAAAAAAAGAAATGTACTTGAGGTTAAATTTGAAAGTCACAGAGGCAGGCTCTACACTTCCTTTAAAAATGGCTTTCTTGCGCATTCAGTCCCCTATTAATAATGGTCAGACAAAAGTAATGTGAGGCTCAAAGCAATGCCAGCCTTATGTATTTATTAGAAGAGATTCCAGAAGATTCTATTTCTGTGCCTCCATCTCTCTTATGTAGCATTTAAGGATGAGGCTCAATTCAGGGGACAAGGAAAAGCAGGTTGACTTTTCACTGTCAGGTGTTAAAAAGTTTAACGCTGGCCTATGACTTAAAAGGACCTGCAGTGTCCTGGGAAAAACAGTCTAGAGGTGTTCCTAGCTCAGCGTATGATGGCAAATTTAGTGTGAAATATTCCAAAAGCAAACTCTTATGTTTCCAGGCAAGGTCACTGCGGAGAAAACCATATCCCATTTTTCAAGTGAGATACATGTGAGCCATTCAGAACGCATGAGTGTCACCATCTTAGCACTCCTTACCTGGCTCTGGGGCCTTTTAGACATAATGTTTATTTCACAAATAATTATTGAAAAAATTGTGAAGGGGGTCCTCTTAAGGTCTCCATCTGTCCCAGAGAAAGTGCTAATCTCTATTAAAATAAACCTGAGCCCTGAGGGGAGGGAGCTGACATTTCTCTTGTGCTGGTGCAGAATCACAAGGCTATAATATATGTAAGCATCTAAAGCTGAGGGTGGAATTGGTGTTGGCTGTTTCCCTTTAGGCCTACGCAAGAGAAGGGAGATGTTGCTACCATACAGCTGTCAGAATGGATCTCCACTCAGCATGCAGATTAGAGCAGCTGTCCACATTCAGTCAACATCAGCCCAAAAAGCATCATTTTCTCTAGCATTTGTCATTCCCTTGTGCGCCAGCTCTTGGAGGAAGGGGCAATATTGGAGATATAGTAGCTGCTTCTTCTGAACTGCTTCACAAAGGGGTCCATATCTCTGTTTTCTCTTATGTTCTGCTACTATCCTGTCACTCTGCACAATAGTTTCTAGTCTACAAATAAAAAGGAAGAAAACAGTACACTCCTGACACAAACTAGACAATATCATTAGCACATGATTGAACTCATTGAAATCTGTTTTTTTTTAAAAAAAAATCATTTATCTTTTCTTGCATGAATTTCCCTTGATTCACATTTCGCAACTTAGTTAGCTTGTTTGTGATTGGACATTAGGTGGTAAGTATGCGCTTCATTTGAAATTCTGATTGTTCTTTGACAGAATTGCGTGTGTGGTGGTAAAATGTTGTAATAGCAAGTAATAAACATTTCCCTTAATGTATGAAGCATCCTGTCTTCACTGAAACCAAGCAATATCTGCACTATTGTTTTCTTCTTTATTTCCAAATCTGCTGTGACTTCTGAGAAGAGAAATTATTTAAAAATGTGATTGGGGTGGGTCATTGTCCAGAAAGAATTTACGCTGTATTGGCCATCTCTGGATTAATGCTAGGAAAAGTTACTATTTGGACTACAACTCCCCAAAAATCCCTAACCAGTGGAGCTGGTGACTTTACTGACTGGGGAGTTTTTGGACTTGTAGACCAAAAAAAGTTCCTTTTCTAAGCTTTTCTGTAGATTCAAACATATTCCCCCAACAAACCCTGTACATACACACAAAGAAGAATATCCAAATTCCATCAAACAGACCTGAGCATATCACACCGGCATCTTCCTTGTGTCCACAGTCATGGTTTTTCTCAGAAGGACAGTCCCATAAATAAGACTCATTCCCAGAGCATTTCACCTCATCCAAATGGATGGGGCCTGTTCCCTTGTGGAAGTAAGAAGCATTCAGAGCTTGAAGGGCCGACCCACATTTCAGCTGCTGGCACACAACTTCAGCATCAGCCAGATCCCAGTTGTCATCACATACAGTACCCCAGGTACCGTTGTATTCCAACTCCACCCTGCCAGAGCACTTGCCTCTTCCATCCATCAAACGCAACTTTTGACCTTCTAGGAAAAACAAAGGGAGAAGAGATAGATCATAGGTGATGTCACGGTGTAGTGAAACAACAGGGAGATAGGTACATTTAAGGGATAATATCAATGTGATAGAACCGCAAAGGAATGCACATTAGCCATAGACACACAATTGACAGTCTCTGGGATAAATGGGAGAGTGTTCAGGAAAGTTATTTTTTTTTTTGGACTATGATTCCACATTGTCTTTTCCAAGTTGGCCAGATAACCCTTCATCTTGCAGATCTTTTATTCAGATAGTTCCTTTTACTATAAATGAAGTTTATTTATTGAGCTGATTCATACATACATGTTCATTATTTGATGGGTGACTTCAATGTGTGAATCATTTTACTTCACCTCAAATATTATGCTTTTCAACCAAGTCAATTCAATAGATCCTGCTGCCAGTCATTCAGGCCTGGTCTATACAACCAAATAAGGTGGGAGATGAAGTGGTAGAACTCGCTGTGCCCCCTCAGGTTGCAATAAGTAGGGGATCCTGATATTGACTGTTTTCCTACCTTAATGGGGTTGGCAGATGAACCACCATCAACAAACTAACTCCATACAAATAGAAAGTCTCTATACATTCTGAATGAGAACCTTCAAAGTTGCTACATTCCGAAATTACTTAGAAGTGGATCAGCAGTCCAAAGTGGCATCTACAGTAAGAAACAGAACCATCTATTGTGTCTTGTGTGGTAGATACACACGATTCTCATGGCAGAAGGAACTTCATTGCTTCACACAGAAGCCATCTCAGAACTGTTCTGATACTGCTATTACAACAGAAACCTAATGGTTGAAAAAGTACTGACTGAACCTCATGCCATCTTGTTTTCCGCCTGACTGTTGGTCTCACACTAGGATAATGCTAAGGAGAACAGTGTGGTTTGTGGCTTTTGAGGAGACTGTTATTGTTTACCTAGGAGTTGTGTGTGTAGGTAGACCTTTCCCTTCTCTAACACCCCCCCTTCAATTTTTAAAAGGCTCTTAGCAAAGATAACCTAGCAGTTTGAAAGCATGTACATGCAAGTAGATAAATAGGTACCACCTCGGTGGGAAGGTAAAACGGCATTCCCTAGTCACGCTGGCCACGTGACAACGGAAACTATCTTCAGACAAGTGCTGGCTCTATGGCTTGAAAACGGGATGAGCACCGCCCCCTAGAGTTGGACATGACTGGACTAAAAATGTCAAGGGAAACCTTTACCTAGCAAAGATACCCACCAAAGTGCTCCAAGTACAGAGGAGGAGTGGCTGACACTCAGTTCCACTTTCACACAGACATATTAAGCCAATCATGAAGCTGCTATGAGGGAATAATAATAATAATTATTATTGTCAAGTCATTGAGACTACTCAGAAGTGATTTACCCTTCTTCTAGGGGCATCCTGGGACTGTGCAGATTGCCCAAAGTTGCACAGGCTGGCTCTTCCAGGTTGCCTTGGGAAATTGAACTCTCAGTCGCTGGCTCCACAGCTAGATATTTAACTCACTGAGCTATCCAACCAACCAAGGGAAAAGAAGGAAGAATAGTGTAAGTTAAACAGCTGTATGAGAGGGGAAAGGATCTCAGCACCATATTGAACACGTGGAAATCCACAGTGCTTCCAGGACTGAGTGTCTCGCTCACATACACACATCTCCATACACACCAACCATGTTGAGAAGGCATAGGCAACATGTGTCCATCCAGATGCTTTGGACTACAGCTCAGGATCATCAGCCGTAGCAAGAGGACCTAATAGTGAGGGATAATGGGAGCTGCAGTCTTAGAAAACAACTTTTGGAGTGCCACAAGTTGCCCATTCCTGATGTTGATAATCCCAAGGTTGACAGATGGATTAGCTGTCAGGAGGCTCCCATCATGGTAAGAAGACTTGCTTTAAGCTGTGACAAAAACAGAGTAGACCTTTGGTCTAGATGGGAGGGGTAGAAGTCCAAATAAACAAATAAATAAATAAATAAATAAAAATATGGATCCTGCCAAGAGCTGAAGATCTAGTGTAGCTTGATATACAAATCCTCACTTCCAGCCACACACATCCAGGATGAGGTTGCTGATGAAAAAAACAACAGCCCCATCTCTGCTCAGTTCTATATCAGTAGAGTGGGTGCAACACTGCCTGCCACCCACACAACTTCCTGCTTGTTTGAAGAAAATGTCACTGAGGTGAGTGTTCACGGAGCTCAGGGTAACCTCAAAAACCAGCAATGAGGTAAGCACTACTTACTGGGAGTGTAATTCCAGCAGGGGGCTTGGGCCATTAAAAATTATTAATTTTTTTGCAAACCAACAGCATAAACATAAATTCGTGCGGCCCCTACGCTGGGCACTTTTAAGAGTCAACTAAAAACATGGTTGTATGTTCAGGCCTTCCCTCCTGTCAATATTTAATTCTTTTTTTACTTTTTCTTTCATTTATTATTTGTTTTATTATTCTATGTTTTATGGACTATTTGTAAAATTCTTGTTTTATTGTATACACCTTATTGGAAGCCGCCCAGAGTGGTTGACCAGACCAGATGGGCGGGATATAAATCTAAACAAACAAACAAACAAACAAACAAACAAACAAACAAACAAACAAACTCCCTGCTTGGCACCATAGCACAAATATATAGTACTGAAGAATAATTCAAAACCTCTTTGCTTCCTTTTCTGTTCAGATCGAAGGAACTGTGGGTGAAGACAGAGGCAACATTTTAGCCATTTTGAGTGCAGTCTGAAGGTACCCTTTTGCATGGGATATCACCAGTATATATCTAGTCCATTCTTGAGAAGTTTGGTAACAGTTACAAGGTTGTTACTTAACTGCTTTTTGGATGAGTACTGTATTTATATACCACTGTTTACTAATTATTTAGATTTAAAACCTCTCTTTCCCCAGTGAGCAGTATACACTATTCTCATCTGCCTCATAATGAAAGAAATGAGGAAGGTTTAAGTTGTTCCCTTTGTGATAGCAAATTTCTAATTAACTTTGACACTGAACTAATTTTAACATTTCAATTCCCACTGCTTTCTTCTGAAGAAGTAAATGAGGCTATAACGGATTAGAAATGCCCAGACTGGGAGCTTGAAGTGTTTTGCAGAGGGCTCAGGAGGTACATTCTTGCTTTAAACTGGTTGGCTGGGGTCATTTATTTATTTATTTAAAATATTTTTACCCTGCCTTTCTCCTTAAGAAAGACCCATAGCAGCTTACATCATTAAAAGACAATATTTAAAGCCAAGAGCAGTAAACAGATAAATACTTTAAAAGGGTCATACAAATATCACACTAAAAACCAATAAACAAAAGCAATACCAAAAACACATTCAGCACAGTAAGGCACAACCATTTGTTAAAAAAACCCAGTCAGGTGACCAATCACTAAGGGTTAAAAAACAGAGCATAATCCTCAAATATACTATTTTGGCTGGGCTCTTGCCACTATCTTGCATTAGTTTGCTCCAGGATCCTCTTCCGTCATGAAGAGTTCCAGTTCTTTCCATTATGCATATGAAGACACACATGAGTTTCTGTGTATCCTTATTATAACAAGAAAGAAAGAAAGAAAGAAAGAAAGAAAGAAAGAAAGAAAGAAAGAAAGAAAGAAAGAAAGAAAGAAAGAAAGAAAGAAAGAAAGAAAGAAGCAAAGTTCTCCCTCATCCCTAAGATGCCTTCTTCCACTCATCTGCAGCAAAATAAACATTACTTTTAAAAAAAAATCAAAATGCAGTAGAGGTTCAAAGGGGCTTCTTCGCATTGGAGCCTATTTTTCAGTCTTTTTACCTGGTATTGCAGTCGTGCTGTCTTGGCTGCTGTTTCCAAAGGCAGGCGGATTGGTTGGCTTTGCGTGGACTGAAATAAAAACAGAAAGAAACACTGGGAGTGAATGGCCATGGATGTTTTTGATTTTGACCTCAGCTCAAAAAAGGGCGCCTTGCCAGGAGGGGGGGGGGGGAAAGACCCTTGGAATAACCTCAAGTAATTTGAAGTGGTTCTGCTGCTGCATTTAATTAAGAGCTAGTTAGTCCCTGAGAACTAGCTGATTGTTAATTAGAGGTGGTGAACTCTGGAGAGATCCAATTCTATAGCTGGGATATTTTTGAAGCTCTTTTCTACCAGCAGGTTAATTTCAGATTCTTCTTGCATTCCAGAAGCATAGAGAAATTGGAGAAGAAAATACAATGCTCCTTGGAAGCCGTTATTTATGGAAACCAGACAGGAACAGTTCCAAATATAAATCAATGGAAAAAATAAAAAAAGAGTTAAGATAGAGACTCTAGAGATTCACTCTTAAGTAGAGTAAAATATTGTATTATTATAAGAATCCTCTGTTTTAATACTTCTTATTTCCCCTCTGGAAATGATTTAACCCATTCCATTGTACTCATTATACAAAACAGACTGTAAGGTCCTCTACAGAAATGAAGCTGCAAATTTATTTCATGCAACTTTCTTAATATATTATTTTTCATGTTTAATGTTAATGAATCTGTAAAATTAAATACGTTTCTGTTGTTTATTCCGATTTCGAAATAATCAAGAAATAGCATGAAAATGTTTTCCTACATTTTACTCAAGGCGTGACTTAGCCCTTACAATAAACAAACTGACAGTACAAAACCCAAGTCCAAGCAACATATCAGTGCAGTCTATGAAATTATCAGATAAATATTTCATCATCATTAGGTTCAGAGCAGATTGGACAGCAAGTGTTCTTCAACGAACTCAATTGTTTGCAGCATTTTCAACACTGTCCCAAGAAACGTTGATGGTTTTCAGATCTTCCTTGAGTGCTTGAGGCTCTGTTTTTCAAGGCCGGCCTCATTTTCTCTTTCCTCCAGGAGGTATCCTCCATAGTGCAGTTTTCAGATGCCAACCTTCAGGCATGTGTAACATGTGACTGGCAAATTGAATTCGGCATTCATTCACAGTTGTCAGCACATGTTTTGAGTCTGATCTTTGTAGTATTTTTTCATTGTCTTCACAACCATCACAAAAAAACATTGTTACATTTAAATGGTTAGAATTTGGCTCCAGATGGGGCATCTGAAGATTGTTGTCGCTCAATATGTGTATCTGGGCTGAGGGAGGAATCACACTGCTGAAATGGAAGAGGAACAGATCTCCGTTGCCCCTCTTCCAGTGTCTCCCATATTGGCTCCAGAGGGAGACAGCGCCGTCTGAAACCAGCAGGGAGGTGGTACCTGGGGGCATAGAGAGGGTAAGGTTTGCCAAAGATGGAGACTCTCACTTGGTGACAAGGAGAGTGTCCCAGTAAAGATCTAACTAGAGTTGATGGCATTAAAATGTAAGAGACTATATTTACAGTTCCTGTCAGCCTAGCAGTTCGAAAGCATGCAAATACGAGTAGATAAATAGGGACCACCTGGGTGGGAAGGTAACAGCGTTCTGTGTCTAAGTCGCACTGGCCATGTGACCACGGAAGATTGTCTTCGGACAAAACGCTGGCTCTATGGGCTTGGAAACGGGAATGAGCATCGCCTTCTAGAGTCGAACACGACTGGACAAAAACTGTCAAGGGGAACCTTTACCTTTTTATATTTACAGTTGAATACAAAGCAAGAAGTGAAGAAGACCAGGCCAAAGAGTTCATGCCCTTGGCTCCTGAAGAAATAATCTGAGGGCTTGACCTTCAGAATCTTGGTAGAAAGGGGATGTATAAATGCCACACATACTGTAGGCAAATGGACACTGCTTTTCTATATAAGTCTGTGTTCTCTCTCTAGTTGGTTATGTAGTGCACCACATCACCTTCAAATGGAATTAATAGAACTTCAGTCCAACAGCAGCCTGAAAGCGAAGTTCCAGGATGCGACAGTCGACGACTTTTACCGTCTCCTCCCCCCTGCTTTGATGCCACAGCTCCGACTTCAAGCTGCACGTGTTCTGTCCATGTTTGGGAGCACTTATCTATGTGAACAGATGTTTTCAGTCATGAATCTGAACAAGACCAAGCTCAGATCACGCATCACTGATGATAACCTCCATGCTGTTTTGCGGATTGCTACAGCACAAGACCTAACGCCAGACATCGATGGACTGACCTTAGGAAATCGATGGCAGCGATCTAGTAAGAAATGTTAAAAAAGTCAGAAAAGTTTAAAAAGTTAAAAAGTTAAAAAAAAGTTAATGCCTTGTGATTTCCATATGTTTAATAAACAGTGTTTGGCAATATTTGTATATGTACATTATTACAAAAACCAGTAATAATTGAATGCAGTGACATTAATTTATGATAGTAAAGAGTGGACACATACACCTACAGATACAACCGGCCCTTTGATGGGGACCAAACTGCTGATGCGGCCCCCGATGAATTTGAGTTTGACACCCCTGCTCTAGTTGGTTATGTAGCAGCTGGGTAGACAGAGTCAAACAGGGTGGAGAGGAACTCTTGCACCTTTTACCATCACCTACTAGATAGAATTCTAGCAGAGGCATCCTGCCTGACAAATTACACCTACTGACATTCTTGCTTCTATAAACTGTTAAAGGTGCAGGAGTCATGTCCTGTATTTTACATGTTGCTCCTGGTGTGGTAGGCTGACCAAGGTTCAGTACTGTATTAAATTCCCCTCTGTTATTTCTGATATGGACATGCTACATACTAGTAGCTGGTTCTTAGAGCTGACTTTGGAAACAATACTGTTTTGGACTATAGCTCGCAGAATTTACCAGCCACAATGACCACCCCTGGCTTCCAGTGGGATTCTGGGAGCTGTAGGAGAAAAAAAAAACAAGCAAGCAAACAAACAAAAGGCAAAACAAAACAAAAAACAAAACATAAAACCCTTTTCAGACTCTGCTGCTAAAATACATTGCCCCGATCAGAGGTTCTATTTAGCTGTTGTTAGTGTCACATAACTAATTGACAGACAATCCAAATGTCATTAATGGTGGCATTTGACATATATCTACTCACAGGTAGTGCCCATTCGATTCAGTATAGCTAGTTCCCACTGAAGCAGGTTATAACTGCACCTTAAGATTTAATGTTGTTATATAGACTGATGTTTAACAACTAAACATGGAAGGGAGAATTCAAGTTGTGTCACTAGACCAGGTGTGGGAATCTGGGGGCCTCCAGATGTTGTTGGATTCCATCTGCCAACACAGTCAACAGCCAGGAATGATGGGAGTCATAGTCTAGCAACATGTAGAGAATGACAGGTTTCCCATCTCAGCGTTAGACATCCTTGGTGCTAATGTCTTTCTTTAGTGATAAAGTATGGTAGGAGCCAGTCACCTCCAAAATTTTATGAAGGAAATTGGCTGTTTGTTTTCAAGCAGGTGGCATGTTTTATTTGTGTGACTAACAAACCCAAACCATTGATATGCTACCACTGCTCCTGAAAAATTATTAGAACACCTCATGTCACAAGGGAAGTTAACTGTGAATTTTCTATAGGAATGACATTTGAAATCAGACATGGAATCAAAAAGTTATTTCAGAACTGACTGACATAAAGTCAGTAGCATTCTTAGTATTAAAGTATGCATGGATCAGTTGACTGTGCGATTTTGCTCTCAGCTTGACAAAACATAATATTTACTTCCACTCCTGCCCAGGTAGCATTAAAAAACAAGAGGACAGGGTTCCATCACAGAAGCTCCTGTTATGAATACGCAATGTGCCATCACTAACAGCTCATCTAAACTAGAATTCTTTACTACAAACAATCAGTTCCATGTACCAGCTTCTGCTGATGTGTGATTCCCCACTCATTTCAGTACGGCTTGTGTCTCTCTTTGTGCATGTTATCACTCTGACCAATTTTGTCTAGGAAGAACTCGATGAAATGGACTAAATTTGCCAATTGCCCACCTCCAGGGAGGTTAATGTATCACAAACAAGGACCAGCATACTCACACTTACTAGGGGTACAAATACTCAGTCTCAATTTTCTCTGAATTCCACCTGTTTTCTCATCCAATTCTTAATTTTAACAAGTCGAAAACTGATTTTTAATTCCCACATGGAAATGTACACTCATTTTATAAGCATTTTCCCATGAATAACATATTTTCTTGGAGCATTTAAACTAAAAGATATGTATTTGTATGCATTTTCCCCATTAACTGAAGAATGTTTCACATATTTTCCAGCTGCACACAATTTTAGCCACCCACATTTTTAAATATACAGATAATTGTTAACAAACTTTATTTCTTTGAAACACATTGGAAATCTCCGAGGCAAAGTTTACTTTGTTTTGCATGAGTCTCGGTCAGCACATTTTTTTTTTAAAATTAAGAATCTCAACTCCAACAAAAGAACTCTGTTTTATTTATTGCATTTTATGACGCTTTTCTCCAGCAAAAAAAAATGCAGTAAAATTTCCACCCCATCCATCACTAACACAAAAACCCACTGTAGCATCCAGCAGTCCAGTCTGACTGTCTTTTATATTACTGCAAGATGATGCACTCAGCACTTCTCAGGTCAAATGTCTCTGATCCACTAAGGATCAAGGGGACATCATTATGGCCTCTGCACCATTGTTCCACACACAGCTCTAGCATCTTGTTGACAATTCACCACTGGAGGGATCTAATGCACTCTATTTTCAGGCCATCACATGATGAAAGGGGAAATGTGCTCCAGCCTAATCTGTGCCCAAGCTGGACCTTTCTGGTCTAGCTGTAGGGTTTCTACTTTTGGGAGCTGAACTGGAGCAATTTCCTGGCAGATGGAAGGGTCACTTTAAGGGAGATTGCTCTTGTTAAAGTGTCTTGTTCTGGTGTGATCAGGTATCCACTTTTGCAGGCATCTAACTGCACCATAAAATACTTAAAAGAAAACAAGGGGACAGTTGGAGGTTGGGTAAAAG